GATAAAAAAAAAATCCTTCTCAACTTTGCCCACATCCTGTTAACATAAAAGTTAGCAGGAAGTACTTCATGCAAGTGTGTTTCCCCGGCCCTGTAACTTTCATAACAAGCAGTCAGTCTATAGGATTATGATCGGCTTTGTTTGACCAAACACTCGTTACAAGCGAGATAGATTTATTACAAGCAGTCATTTAGATATAACAGATGTAAAACTGCACTGCAGTTATGTGTAACGCAATGCTGGGGGGAGACAAAGTTCTCAGCAAACAAGGAACATTTATGCTGTATCTTTCTGAATATGTGGCATAGTTCACATCATGCACTGATGATGGCAAACGCGTGCACAAAAGCTGACACCTGTTTTCACAGATGTTGCCTCATCCTGTCAAATCAGTTTGAAAAAAACTTTCAACGTTCCCTAAACACATTCTGCTTTCTGATCTCAACTTGGCACCATCTGGCTGGCTTTTCACATTGTGTTTGAGCACAAAGATGTGCATGACGTGCTATATCTTCAAACACAGCTTTTCCTTCCAAACAGGTCTTAAAACAGTTCAGATCTGAACACAATTACCAGACAGCCAGGATTGTGTGCCATGTCAAACAAAGCCAAGTGACTAAGAGAACATATTCTTTTATTCATTTTAGGCTGAGACAACATTTTTCACGTGAAGGTTTCTTTTAATTTGTTAAATAAATTAATGAATTAATTTATATTCCTGAATGCTTATGGGTTCCGCAAGGATAAAGACCTCCCCGGGCTACTTTTCTAAACACCTGTTTGTCACTATGCACTATCAGAAAAAAAGGTACAAAAGCTGTCACTGGGGCAGTACCTTTTCAAAAGGTACACATTTGTACCTTATTAGTTCCACACTTAGTGTGCAAAATGTTCCTGTTCTGTTAGGTTTGTACATGTAATACAATCTAATAATAATCATAACTTATTGAAGGTGACATTGCAGCTCCAAGATGTGATTAAGTAAAGTATACTCTTATTAAAATAAAATAAAGGTTCTTTATTGCCATTGATAGTTCCATGAAGAACCTTTAACATCCATGGAAACTTTTCATTCGCTGTAAGAAAAAAAAAAATTATTTTAAGAACTGTTCACTGAAAGTTTTGTTTGTGGAAACAAATATGGTTCTTCTATGGCATCATGGAAAAAAAACCTTTTTGGCAAACCTCTATTTTTTAAATAAAGTGTACATTTTCTTACAGGAGGCTTTTATCTATGTTATACCATACAAACAAAATTGGCTTGTATTGAGTAGTTCAAAGTGGTAAGACTGGATCTAGTAACTTCGTATTCCTTTCTAGTGCCAAAATGGCAATTAAAAACAATAAACATAATGATTTTGAGATAAACACTTTTTGATTATAGGGAACCCAAAATGGTTCTTCTATGACAAAACAAAAAACCTTTTGGAACCTTATTTTTTAAGAGTGCGGAAACATTAAGAAAAAGACTCCACCTTGATCCATGAATATACTTCCTGCTCAACTACTCCAATTTAACAACTGGAGTAGCCTAATAGATCAGTTTGAAAGTTCACAAATGTGTCTGATTTTTATTTTAAACTGCCGCCTTAAAATAAAAAAGAAATACAGATGAGACAGACATTTTCATGATAAAGTGGTGATATGTCATGGTAATACCATGACACTGTTAGTGGAGTCCAAGTTTCTGAAAATGTTCAAATTAATAGTATTATCATTCTAATGGGAAAAAAAACTATGTATATTCATTTATGTATTAGGTTAGGTCAACTTTATTATCCCCAAGGGACAATTTGTTTTACAGCCAGCAGTAAACCATACCATTACACTGTTCAAATATATATATATATATATATATACTGTATATATATATATATATATATATATATATATATATATATATATATACACTCACCTAAAGGATTATTAGGAACACCTGCTCAATTTCTCATTAATGCAATTATCTAATCAACCAATCACATGGCAGTTGCTTCAATGCATTTAGGGGTGTGGTCCTGGTCAAGACAATCTCCTGAACTCCAAACTGAATGTCAGAATGGGAAAGAAAGGTGATTTAAGCAATTTTGAGCATGGGATGGTTGTTGGTGCCAGACGGGCGGGTCTGAGTATTTCACAATCTGCTCAGTTACTGGGATTTTTACAAAGAATGGTGTGAAAAGGGAAAAACATCCAGTATGCTGCAGACCTGTGGGCGAAAATGCCTTGTTGATGCTAGAGGTCAGAGGAGAATGGGCCGACTGATTTAAGCTGATAGAAGAGCAACTTTGACTGAAATAACCACTCGTTACAACCGAGGTATGCAGCAAAGCATTTGTGAAGCCACAACACGCACAACCTTGAGGCGGATGGGCTACAACAGCAGAAGACCCCACCGGGTACCACTCATCTCCACTACAAATAGGAAAAAAAGGCTACAATTTGCAAGAGCTCACCAAAATTGGACAGTTGAAGACTGGAAAAATGTTGCCTGGTCTGATGAGTCTTGATTTCTGTTGAGACATTCAGACGGTAGAGTCAGAATTTGGCATAAACAGAATGAGAACATGGATCCATCATGCCTTGTTACCACTGTGCAGGCTGGTGGTGGTGGTGTAATGGTGTGGGGGATGTTTTCTTGGCACACTTTAGGCCCCTTAGTGCCAATTGGGCATTGTTTAAATGCCACGGCCTACCTGAGCATTGTTTCTGACCATGTCCATCGCTTTATGGCCACCATGTACCCATCCTCTGATGGCAACTTCCAGCAGGATAATGCACCATGTCACAAAGCTCGAATAATTTCAAATTGGTTTCTTGAACATGACAATGAGTTCACTGTACTAAAATGGCCCCCACAGTCACCAGATCTCAACCCAATAGAGCATCTTTGGGATGTGGTGGAACGGGAGCTTCGTGCCCTGAATGTGCATCCCACAAATCTTCATCAACTGCAAGATGCTATCCTATCAATATGGGCCCACATTTCTAAAGAATGCTTTCAGCACCTTGTTGAATCAATGCCACGTAGAATTAAGGCAGTTCTGAAGGCGAAAGGGGGTCAAACACAGTATTAGTATGGTGTTCCTAATAATCCTTTAGGTGAGTGTATATATGCACAAATTGATTGTTTAGGACCCCACACTAAATCCATTATATTACTATGTTACAGTTTTCTAAATCACAGACTGGTCAATATCAATGAGGCAACAGTACAAACTACAATTAATACATAGTTCAGGTATGAAACTCTGACAAACGCCTATTGGTTCTTTCAATGCAGCGGCACCAGCCAATCAGAAGTACTTCCAAATCCACGTAGCCTTATATATCGTACCCTAACCTGCGATCGGCATGCTGCGCAATATAAAAGCTTCTGTCACTCCTCCTCCTCCCCAACACCACCTGTAGAGTTCTGCTACAAAGGTTCTACTATTTCTTGGAGCAGCCTTTCCTTTTTGTTATTTTGACTAAGCTGAACAAATTATTGTATTTGCTCAACAGCAGCAGCGTAGCAGATCTCGTCCGCAAAATTAAGCCTATGTTTATTTCATGCCCCATGCAAATAAATGCTGGTTGAAATTCATTGACTCCAAGAGTTGTCATGACTGAACTGCTTTCACAGATTTCTTGAGATAAACTGAAGCTACTACTTTTGGCAGGCACAAATAGACTATCTATTTGCCATCAAAGCTATGGCACACATCAATGAACAACTTCTGTCACTACACAGATGACAGTATCTTTACTGTCTGGATTTTGACCACAATCACTTTTTCATCCCCACAAGACACTCTCTTGAGCCATTGTGGCTCTACCGCAGCACCAAAATACTTGTCAGCAGGTTCAAAACCATTTATTTCCAAGCCTCAACACATGCAATATAACTTTAAGTATGGGCACTTTACCTGATAATGACATGTCTTAGGCTGCTATACATCAGTCATGTTTCTGTACTGTATGTTGTTCTATCCATAGCTATGGTTTGTGTGGCCTTGAATACCTCTGTGCTGTATATAATGCAGCACTGCTTTATCTGCTGCATGAACACTATGATCCCCTATCATTTGATTTTAAAGGCTGTTTCACAGTTGTTTCTTTTATTTACTCTGAATAAAAATAATGAAAATGTTAGTGTAAAATGTTCTTTACACTAAGAAAAAAAAAGGTTATTTTAAGGATTGTTCACAGGTTCTTTGGGAAACCAAAACTGGTGCTTCTATGCTATGGCATCACTGCCAAAACCCCATTTTGGAACTTTTATTTTTGAGAGTGTACATGGAGAACTAGCGAGAACTAGTAGCCACTGTAACAACTCAGAAGATGAAGATGCCAGTTTTTGTCTCTTTAGATTTATCACCAAAACGGCACTCGAGTCTGTCTGCAATGAATGTTTAGCAAGAGATACACCAAATGGGCCCTGCTTTCTGAAAGTAATTCACAAACATGAAGCTATTAGAAATTAGCATTATTCTGTAGTAGCCTATGTGTGACTGAACAACACCTCATTTCCTGGAATGCAATTCATTGAATTTCAACACTTCTTGCCATTTAACTTCCTGTGTGTTTTGGCCAATTCAGTTCAAATTCCAACTAATGAACTAAAAGGAAAGCCAATTGTTAGTTTTTGCATTTTCCAATCCAACCAAACAAACCGAACTCTGAAGTCAAACAAATTTGGGTCCGCATCAAAAGTGTGAAAGTACCCTTAAAGGGTTTTCCGATATATAATCAATTTATATTATATTTTAAAATTGCATCAGTAACTGGCAGCCTTCGGTTTCAGGCAAACATGGACAAATGCAAATTAATGTTTACAAAGGTTCTTAGATGCCCAGCCATTTTTGTAATTTCCACAAATCATTGCAAGAAATCATGTGCAACCCACATACAGTAAGTTAATTCTGTGGAATGAAGCAAAGACAGATTGATGATCAGAATGAGAAATTCCTTTTAGAAATACTCTAAAGAAGTCAAAACTGTCAATAGAGTACCTTGGTTTATTTTCCTTTTAATTTATTTCATTTCTTTAACTTTCTTCATTTTCCTCATTACTTTGTTTTACATCAACGATCTAGGCAAAACACTTAGTGTTGTCCTTGTTCGGAAAAGGTAATACACAAAAATGCACAGGCAATTTCAATGTTTCTGGTGCAGGGTTCAAATCTGTGACAAGAAACACTTTGTAAGCTTCTCACAAAGATTTGGCAACACACATATACAACTGTACATCAAAAACATTTCACCTCTAGATCTCCGTGTGTAAACAACCACATCAAGTTCTTCAGTCAATAATGTATCTGTTAAGAGTAATTAAGACTTGAGATTTAACAGGAATTCAGTCCTCAGTAAATTTTGCCTACCACAAGTTTCATCATTCATGGTTGAGGAGACACTTAAAGGCATTGAAAGTCTTTTCCAATTGCCACATCAGGTCAAAAAATGGGTAGAAAATGGACAATGCCAGATCACAGCATATTCACAAAGGCTCACTGAGTCAGATGTTCCATCAAAGACAGCCGGCTATTCCATGTTCTTAAAGTTCTTAAAATAGATGGACTGAATCATCGGAAAAGCAAGGTGAGTGTCCTGTCTCTTGTTGTTTCTAGGCAGGGATTCACGCTCTCGCACACACACATTCTGATGGATTTCCAATATCAGTCAAGCCTCATAGTGACAACTGCCCACAAGCCCTTATTTTTCCTCCTCTGGAGACTCGGTCGCCTGATATGTACAGAACATCTGCTTTAAAGTGGCCGCATACTTCTTCAGAACACTCACATGTGGAGGGAAATCAATATAATCACAGCTTAATGCAGATAAATGAACCAGCAGCTTTAACCAATGACTGGCTAAATACAAACTAAGGAATTAAGTGAGAAGATTTAGGCTACACTTTTGTGTCACATTGTGGAATCCATTGTGATGAGAAAATGAACAGCTTTGAGAAGATAACGGCCAGGAGCATCCCTATAATCACAGCCAGTTGCTTTATGACAGCAAAAAAAAAATAGCTGATTGCTGTGAATTTATAGACAGAAATAGCAAACGTAGTGTTGCTATAATTTTAGGATATCACTATTGTATGCAAGCTGTGCAAATTGCAGGTAATTTTGGCCGACTTTTATCATTTAAAGTGTGCCAATTTACCTGAATTCAATCTAAATTTCCAGATGAACATCTGTTTCTTTCTCCCTGATTCTTGAGAGTTGAAGCCAAACCATGAATCATATTTTAATTTGTTCTGAAAATAGCCAATAGCCATTGTTCTTTATACAAAGGAACAATTTTATTTAAAGTATAATTACATTATCTCTTGCTGAATAAAAGTATTTCTTAAAAAATTGTACTGATCGTTAACATTTAAACAGTAGCATATATAAATAGAATTGAAGAAAAACTGAATAATGGGTAGGCCTATATAAAATAAAATATAAACATATTTATATAGGTTTGAATGATTGATATTATTTAATGAATTCAACAAAATCAAAGTCTTTTTTATGCATATTTTCTCAGTTCTGTGGCCTGTTTTGTCTGAAGAAGTATTTTAGTAAGTCTAATCCTCAGTGAAATCAGGCCTAATATGGTATACCTTGTTGTCTCATGGGGGAAAAAATAGGGGGAAAAAACAACTACTGACCAAAACTATACCTTAATGGTACAGAAATATGAGTGTTCTGAAGAAATATGAGTCTGTGATTCTGTTTATTGTTCACACTTTATCTATAAAAACCAATAAGTGGATGTAGCAATGCACATTGTTCGGCTTTGTGAAAACCAAAATTGGGCCAGACTACATCCTTTATCACTATACCTTAAACCCGCAGTGCCTCATGCACACCTACAGCTGACAGTCGCCGGTTTATGTTCCGGTACCTGCAACGGAGCAAATCCCTGTAAGTGGAGCGCAGGTCCCGGTTAAAGAAAGCGTAAATGAAGGGGTTCATTAGTGAATTGGCATATCCAAACCATAGCAGCGTCCTCTCCAGCCATATTGGGATGCAACTACACTTGACCCCACATATAAAGGGTCTTGCTGTAGATAGAATAAAAAACGGCAGCCAACAAATTCCAAAAACTCCAACTATCACGCCCAATGTCGTAGCTGCCTTTTGCTCTCGCTTAAAAATTGAGATATTCTGTCGTTCACGGCTGAGAAAACGAGAAAGAGCAGCACACTCCTCGCCAGGTGTGTGTTGAGGTTTTAGGCCATGCATCCTCAGGGCTTCGCTGGCAACGGTCTCCAGGCGTTCCCGACGGGGGAAGTCAGTAAAACGATGTTTGGCGCCGCTTTTTCTGGCAGCCTTGAAGATCTTGTAGTACATGAAGAGCATGACGATCATGGGGATGTAGAAGGCTACGGCGGTGGAGTAGATGGTGTAGCCGAAGTCCTGGCTGATAAGACAAACGCCAGCCGTGTTAACGTTCTTCGCCCAGCCGCAAAATGGCGGCAGTGTGATGGAGGCAGACACAAGCCACACACCAAAAATCATCTTCGCCATCAATTGGCCATTTTGACGAGCAGGGTAGGTCAAAGGGCGAGTAATTCCAAGATACCTGCAATCAAACAAACAGATATAAGACACTATGATGAGATTGTCACCATGAATTCAAAATTGACAATTCTTGTTTTTTTTATATAATATGGCAGTATTTATTATACATGATTTATCTATGCACATATTTTTTTCAAAATTCATGTGCCCTCGTAATCTAATCAAAATAACAAAATAACTCTTGCAGCGACATCTATTCTATGATGGCGTGTTTACTGGCGCGAAGGCGGGACAACCTGTCACTCACATGAGATCACAGCAATAGCAAACCACAACCATCCAATGATCCAATCAATTCCCTATTGACAAAATTAAGTCCCACCCAACTTTTTTTTTTCTTGTAGGAGAAGCCATTTCACTAGGATATATGTCACAATCACAGACTGTAAAAAGAAACTGTCTAATTCGTGCTTCCTTCCACTATAGAAAATGAAGTCAGTATCCAATATCCAGGCCTTCTGAAGCAAAGCAATTCGTCTTTGTAAGAAAAATATCCATATTTATAACTTCATAAACTAGAATCACTGGCTTTCATAAACAGACGCATGACGTATTGACAAACGCGGAAGCACAGAGGAAAGAGCAAAACAAAACACCGGTCACGAATTAGAAGTCTAAAACAAGAATTTTTAAAGAGAAATGTCGGAGGAGACTCGACGCCATAATCCGAAAGCTAGTGATTACAGTTTGTAAAGTTATAATTATGGATATTTTTCTTACAAAAACGCATCGCTTTGCTTCAGAAAGCCTATATTGACACACTGGAGCCGTATGGATTACTTTTATGATGGATGGATCTGCTTTTTTTGGGCTTCAAAATCTCAGTTACTATTCACTTCCATAATAAAGCTAGGAAGGGCCAGGATATTTTTTAACTTTATAATATAATATATAATATTTACTATAACAATTGTGTTTGGCTGAAAGAAGAAAGTCATACACTTAGGGTGGCTTGAGGGTGAGTCAATTATGGTATAATTACAATTTTTGGGTGAACTAACCTATTAAATTAACACCGTTTGGTGTTTATATGGTAACCACCAGCAGAGAGTTAAGAGTAACCCTGAAGCAGTGTTAGAGTTAATTGGATAATTATGTGATTAATTGAGTGATGATTGAGTATTATTGAAGCTCAATCAAGCTCATTATTAAACCTAATGATAACAAGCAGAATCACTGAAGGAAAGAGAAACACAAGAATAACTGACTTCAGCCAAAGCCTTAGATGAAATCCACTCAAGATAAAGGAAGACATTTCTACCAGAAAGACTCGGGAGAATAAATACTGTAACAATAAATACATTTATTGATAGCCCAGCAAGCAAAAAAGTTATTTGGCGTAGGCCCCGTCCATAGCTCGCAATCCAAGGGTCCGGACTCTGCATTTCCTGCCTGAAGACGAAGGCAGGGGCGCAGCCAACCCCCTGTGAGGTATAGGAAGGGACCATCCTGGTGGTGGTGGGGAGGATGGAGGGAAAGGGACCATCCTGGTGGTGGTGGAGAGGATGGAGGTGAAGGAACCATCTTGGTGGTGGTGGGGAGGATGGAGGTGAATGAAAGCGTCAGCATCTCAAACATGTGTAAGCACTGGTCTTTTATACCGCAAGTATTAGACACGATTGGATAGATGAGAAGATAATAAGTGACGTAGCAATTGAGTCTTCCTGGCAGAACTTAACGCTAAAGCTTCCATATCTCAAGATCTCTGCAGAGGATTAAACAACTCCAAAACACCATTACCAGCTTCACTTATTACTAAAGAGTTAAGAATTGTTGAGAATTAATAGAGGTTTAGATGTTGATGTTTTATTTTAAATAATAGGTTGATGTAAAGTCACCATTATGGTGATCAGTGTTCGATTTGGGCATTTTCACTCTTGATTCTTTAATGAAAGTTTTTCTCTGGTTGCTCTAACTGTGTTTGTTATGGCAAGCACAGCCAGAGAAAATGTAATAAGACGGTGTTGGCTACTTATTGATGATTAAGATGTAGTCATCATGTAATAGTCTCATTCACTGATCTTATTCAGAGTCAAATCTCTGATTTTGAAGTTGACGTTTTATGAATATAACCTCATTGATGATAGTAGCATAGTGTTGTGGTAATCTGAAGAGTATTAAAAACAGTTTAAACCGTTAAAAAAAATGCTGCTTCATTTGGACACAGACATCAAGAACCAGCATCTGAATCTCAACAATGGTGACATGCTTCATGCCGCAATGCATGCTGTGATCCATAAGTTTTATACTATGGTGGCTCCCAGAATGCAATGCAAGAGCCCAACTAAAGCACACGCTGATCATCATAATGGTGACTTCAAACCAAACTATTATTTTTAATAAAATATCAACATCTCAATAATTCTTAACTGGTTAGTAATAAGTGAAGCTGGTAATGCTGTATTTGGAGTTATTAATTAATCTTCTGCGGAGATCTTGAGAGATCTAGGCCTGGTTTCACAGACAGGGCTTAGACTAAGCCATGATTGAGCTTTAGTTCAATTTGGACATTTAAGTGGGTTTTATAAATGTGCCTTAGTAAAAACATTACTGGTGTGCATCTTGAGACAAAACAATGACACTAAGATATTTAAGATATGTCAGTGCAAGTTGCTTTCAGTTAAAACATCTCAGATATGCATTTTAGTCTAGGACTAGGCTTAAACCTTGTCTGTGAAATCACAGGCTAATGTCTTATCTTCAGTTGATTTCATCAAAAGCTGTGGCTGGAAGTCAGTTGTAGTTCTTGTGTTTCTCTTTTCTTCAGGGATTCTGCTTGTTATCATCAGGTGTCTTCAATAATGCTCATTTATCACTATTAAATACATTAAGCTCCTGCACACTCAATTGCAAGCACAGCTAACAATAATGACACCCCCTTTTATAGCATCAAATAACTAACTAAAACCAAACTTACTGGGAAAACAAACACTTTAACATATGTCTACGTGATGAGAACTAGCTAAAATGACAGGAACCATCTCTGGAAAAACATTTTTTAATGTAATTGGAATTTTTTTGTTTGGCTTGCAGACCTATAAGACCTCTACTGCAGCCACCCACCAGGGGAGAGCGATCTAAATACTTTGCCTTCACTTTTCAGGATTCGTGTGGCACACTTGGTCAGAATAGGGAAGAAAAGATTATCGCAACATCAAATTTTCATGCCAACTTAAATCTGGAGTGTGATTTCTGCATATAACTTTGGCAAGTTAAAGTGCCATCATTTACTCACACTCATATCGTTCCAAATCTATAATACATTTTTTCCATGAAACTCAAAAAGATGTTTAGCCAAAATCGGATAAAATCATAGTCCATTCTTATGAGCTATATTCCAATTCTTCTCAACGTTAAGCTTTTCCTTCACAGCTCTTAAATCTCATTCACGTTGGCATGTATATTCAATATGCCTCATCCAGATGACACACCAGATTTGACATCAATAATGGCAAATTAAATTGATTCATCTGTGTTTTGCCAGTGATTGTGATGCACCAAATTTGAATATGTGCATATTCAGATCATACGATCTGATGAGATTTGACAATCAGATGGAAAGATTTTCAGTGACTAACAACTTAAATTTCATATGACTGCACAAGACTTGGAATAAAGTGCATGAGTTATTATTCATTTTCAACATCTCCTTTTGTGTTTCACAGAAGAAGGAAAATCATGCAGGTTTGGAACAACATGAGGTTGAGCAAATGACAACTTTCATGTTTGGGTGAACTATACCTTTAAAATTAAATAGAAGAAAGTAAAGTATATAAATTACAAGTGTAACTTCTTTACCAAAATCATTGTGTACTGCAGATGTATTTACTCGCCTCAATCTCGGTTCCCAGAATTCTGCTCAATGTGTGGTACTTTACAAGATGATTAAGAGGCGAATGAGAGTGAAGTGAGACATTCAGTATTCTAAAAAACAAAAGTTCACATCAGGGGCATACTACAGCGAGACGAGAGCATGGTGGTGCAAATTGCATTTGTCTGAGCAGTTCTTGTCTGAACCAATCAGCACCCACTCAAGTTGAATTGCGCTGAAGCGCAGAATTTGAGAAAAATGCATGAACAAAAAAAATAATAATAATATTATTGCCACTTCTGCTGCTGAGGAAATTGACCTTGATGGTGCCATTGCGTCTGTTGTGGCTAAATCGCATTTAAAGAGCATAAGATTACAGCCCTTGAAGGTTTGATGAAGGATTCTCATTGCCATGACCCCTGCCCCCAGGAGACACTTATGCAAGAACGTGCTTTCCATAGAGATCTAAATTTAATCTCTGTGCAGTTTCCACTCTTGCTGGGGTCTTACTGAACTCACAAAGCCGGTGAGTTTAGAGTGGCTCTCTACTGTTAGTATAAGACCAGGTATGAATAACAGTTTTTATCGGTTTCAGGTATCAGGGAAGTGACTGGAGGACTGGATGGTTGGCAGACGGATGATCACAGAGGACAGAAGCAGACTGATGGGGTTGGGCAGTTCGAGAGAGGATTCCACCTGTGGAATCAGCAGGTAGGTAGTTCAGTTAAGTGTTCAGGAATGAACAACAAGACCAGGTGTGCGTTTCCCGTACAATGACATAACTCGCTGCTTTACTACCATACGATGCCTCATTGAAGAAATCAACTAGCTAGTCACGACTTTTTCCCAAAACCGTATTGTGGCAAATTGGTAGTTCAACCACGTTGATTAATGATGTCACGCACGTGGTGGAGTAATAACTACTTTTAATGAAACTGTTTGAGATCGAATTAATGCTAGATGTTTTGCGATAAATTACGGACACATGCAGACTATTTCTCATTTTTTCTCAGTGATTTTGCTTTATTTCCAGATTCAATCATAGGTTCGTTCTTACATACTAGAGCACGTACGCACCTGCGCACTCTTCAAAAACGACGCTTTAAAGGGGTCATGACATGAGAAACCAAATTTGCCTTGGTCTTTTGGTATATAAGAGGTCTTTGTACCATTAAAACTTCCTGCAAGTT